CAGTCAAATGCAGATAAATAGAATAAAAATGCATGAATGAAAGTTCATACCGACTCCACACCATCCATGCGCTGACAAGACACCCGGTGGCTCCATGGCTCCATCATGCCGACTGATATCGACAGGCGTCGAGAAAACTGCCACTAGCACCATGGACTCTCGAGAGAACTGCAAGATCAGATAAGGTCAGAAAACTCCTACAAGATGATCCAATGTGAGGTGTTGCTTGTACTTATCAGATTCAAGGTAAAGAGATGAACCATCTCCTTTTCCTTTGTTGGATCAACTATCAGTGTTGCTGTTTCTCTCCACGTATTCAGATAAGCAGTGAACCCTTCATTTTCGTTCGGCTCGAGAATAAAGAGTTCATGTTTAAAAGTTCTAGCTTGAATGTTACACTTGTAATTTAGTGAAGTCTTCTCAAGTTGTTGTGTTCTTAGGCTACAGCGAAAAAGAACCATTGTTGTCAAGCATGCTACAAGGAGGGAGGAATGAAACACATTAGGGTAGAGTGCCACCTCTATTCCCTTGAGAGTCATGGTTATAAAGAAAGCCTTCAAATGGAATATGGGACTATTAGTAGGCTTGAATTTCCGTATGTAAGTAGTGGAGAACAATGGTGAATGGAAGGAGATGATGATTAAACTCGTTCAGAAAAAGAATCGAATAAAGAGGAAAAAATTGAAGGAAAAGACTAACTTTGGAGATCTTGCCAGCACTAGACAATTCTAGTGCTGGGATCCCGCTCACCGACAACCTCTGTGCATTATCAATAACTAATTTTCCCAATAATTTAACAATTTGTGAATTAGGGCTTATACTCGATAATTGATGCTATGCATTTGAGGGGTTATACTCGAAAATGTAAAACAAAGTCTGGCTAAGATTTAATTTGAAACTTTTTTGGTCCTTTTTTATTGTTTTTTTCTCAAATATTCTATTTCTCTTGTGTTTGTAACTGAAACAACCTAGGTGTAGCGCCTTGCGCTTTGGCAAAGGCAATATGAGGTGCACCAAGGCGCTCGCAATCTGTAGGTGCTTGCGCCTGCAATGGTTAAAGCTCACCGACCTATGCTTTTGTGACACCATTGCTACCTTCCTTATGCTCACTTGTCCCAAACAATGAGAGCAACTACAACTTGGGCGGTTCCTTATAAACCTTTGATTGCGGGAGACATCATTCCCGATGTAGAGGCCCCACCACCCGAACCTAGGAGAGCTAGCACATCCCTCTTCTCCTTTTGACTTTAAGGCTACTTTTCGTAATATGAGCCTTATCCATCTCAACAACTTGAATATCAAGGATATGTAGCACAACAATCTTACCAACACTAAGTTGAGAGGGGTGACTTTCCCCTACACCAATCGACCAATCCAAGAGGGTTTGGGTTAACTAAACAACTAACCAATCTATCCCTATTGACAAGGACCTCGAAGCTTAACCAGTGAGCTCCAATCTTACTCACCTTATGACTACTCCCAACTCGAGGGTAGCTATTATAGGGGTGACCCTAGCTATTTTCACAACCCGACCCAGCTAGTTGTAGGAGATCATCTTCCTCACCTCCTCCTTGTCCGGAGTCGTATGACCATTTATATATAGGTCGTCATCGAGCTTACCAAAGATAAATAAACCTATATTGGTCTTACTAAACTAATAGAAAGGGTAAGAAAGGGTCGAACCTAAGAGAGGCATTGGATTATCCACCGATTTGTTATCGTTTAAATAAGCTAAATTAAGTCAGGTGTGGTTTGGGTTTTTTTATTAACTTTTACTAGTTCAAATCAACTAAAGGCGAGATTAGCAATACTAAGAGAAGTCTAGGATTCGGGCTACACCACTCAACTTCATACAACCCGCACTTAGCATGAATAATAAGGTAAATTGGGGAATAAATTAGGGGAAGTCATCTATGGCACCCAAGTGCTCTCTCGAGTCAGAGGGATTACTTAAGCCAAGGTCATAACCTACTATCGTGATTCTAAGCATGAAACAAGTGTTAAAACGTTAGCACAATGTCAAGAACACTCCCTTGACTAGAAATTCCTATTTTCATGGCATTTTAAGTCAATTAAATGTAAGGGAGCTAACTCAACTTCAGAAAGCTTGGATAGATAGTTCTAGCAATGGTCATATCTCACGGTCACCCAAATTGAGGTTGCACTTAAGCTCTCAGTGCACCACGGTCGCAAGGCCTATGAGCATGATCACCCTTCATCCAGCATGCGGCTTTCTGACGTCCAACGCCCCACACCCACCAAAAGTTTGGCGTGTCCGCCCTCGCCAAGATACCAACGCGAATGCTCGACACACGTCAGGTGGCGCCGGGCACGACTAGCCGACTAACCTACACCCCAACAGAGCTCAAGGTTATGTTCGCCTGCATGCTGGTGTGCCACACTCGCTCACAAGGCTTAGCACCCGCACGTGTCAGCACTAAACGACAAGGCCATACAGTTCATTGCGTCAAACCGCGTTTTCCTGGCAGCAAAGGCCAAGGCTCGCGCAAGCATCCTTGATCGCCCCAAAGAAATGCCTGGCTTAGCCACGTTTGCTTGATGTGCTCCCCGAGGGCTGGGGCTATGTGCGCACGGATGTGATTGCCTTGCACCCCCTAATTGCCAAGGTAGTGTCTAGGGCGTTCACCCAGCAGCTAAACCAAAATTCCATTAACCAAACCAGAATTCCACAGTCCTTTATTCGCACAGCACACTGCTAGTCGCTACGCCAAGCTGTGAGGTGTTGTATGCTCACACCAAGCCCAGACATGTCGGGTTTGCCCTACTACCTAGTTTGGTCACTTCGTCTGCCTTAATCTAGACTATCTAGTAACTTAGTAACAGAAAAGGTTCAATGGCAAAAGGTAAGTGTAGTCATTAGTGTTGACTGACAAACTACTTAGATAGGAGATATGCTTAGCACCAGTGTGTCTTGAATTGATTCATGAGTATAGAGAAATTTCTTGAGCTGCAATGCTGAAGGGATTTGTTTGCTTTCCATTGTTAAACAACTTAGAACAGAAGATTGTTCACCCGTCAGTCAGTCACCTCAAATTTGACCTATGTTTCCTTACTTGTGTAAGCACTAATGGGTACTAAAATACATGTTTTTATGTTTTTTTTTTTTAGGAAATTCTCAACGGTAACCCCCAACTTTTGCTACGCATCAATGGTAACCCTCTTGAAAATTAACTATACAAAATGACCTTAGTTAAGATTTTCATCTCACTCATAACCTTATTTCATTAAATAGTTGATTAAAATTAACTATAGTTAGATTTATATTTTAAAAAAAAACTAAATTAATTCACCCAACCATCAAAAACCAGCCAGCCAGCCACCATCTCCCTTTCCGGCGAGACTACCCCGACCGCCCTCATACCGCCCCAAACCACGACCACCCCCAAACCACCGAATCCAAACCGCGACCACGACCACCCCAGATCACCAAACACAAAATCTTGACAACTCGGCCCTCCCAGATCGCCGAACTTAGAACCCCAACCACCCTAGATCGCCGAACCCAAGCCACGACCACCCTAGACCACCAAACTACCCAGACCACCGATCCTCCCTTTCTTTCTTTCTTCTCCGCCCTCTCCTCCGCCTTCTCCGATCCTGTCCATACTCGAAACCTCAAACCCTAAACCCACCACCCCTCCTCGACCAAAAGAGCCTAGGTTGGAGAAAGAATGGCCACTGGAGAGAGAAGGTTGCGAGGTTAGGGTTTGGGTCTAGGCGGAGGAAAGGGGGGAGGCAATTGTTCGGTGGTTTAGGTGGGTGATTCGGCGGTCTGGTGAGGGATTAGGTTGTTTGGTGGCTCCGGTGAGGTCCCGGTGAGGTTGGAGGTGGGATGGATAGGTCTGGTAAGGGATGAGGGTGGAGGTGGTGGTTAGGTTGGTTTTTTTTATTTTATTTTTTTTTACAAAGCTAACCATAGTTAATTTTTTTTAACTACATAACACTCATAAATGTCATGAGTGAGATGAAATTCTTAATTAAGGTCATTTTGTATAATAAAAAAAAAAAGGGAGGTTACCATTGGTGCGTAGCAAAAGTTGGGGGTTACCGTTGAGAATTTCCCCGTTTTTTTTCCTTAAGATTTTGTTTCTTGAATTTGAGAAACTGCCACATTTATTAAAAGAAGCGGCATTAGGTTTCTGTACTTTTTTCTTTCTCCCTTAATTTTGGAGAGAGTGCAAATGTATGGCAGCAAAGTATCCCAAACTTTAACTTGGACACCATACAAGAGAAAATACTTATAAGAGCAAGTTTAGACCCAAGTCTTAAGACTTGAATGTGACATCATTTTTGGTGGTCCCCATTGAAAAAGATGTCATCAAATAGTTGTTAAGACTCACTAAGACTTACACAAATTATCACTTTAGCCCTAAGATTCAAATATATAACATATTATATGTAGAAAAGTGTTTTAAAAAAAAAAAGGATAATAAAAATAATAGTGAGCTGGGTCCTAAATACAGGTCTTAAGTTGAGTCTTGAAATTTCAAGACCCAACTTGAGACTTGCTTGAGATTTAAGAAGAAAAATGGGAAAAGTCTTAAGCATAAGTCTTAAGACTCAAAATGATGATGTCACCCCAAGTTTTAAGACTTGGGGCTAAACTTGCTCTAATGAACTTGGGAGGAGGGTGAGTACATTTATTACTCTTATAGGTAACCAAAATAAACCATTTTACTGGTATGTTGTTCATTCATTTGACATGATGAATGCTTCCCTGTTGCATAAATTGTCAAATGTCAGTGTAATCCAGTGCAGTTTGGAATTTCGAGCAGAACTTATTTTTGCTGTGAAACTGGCCTTGAGTATTATACTATCATTTACTCTGTATACTGGCTGACATTGTTAAATTTCTATTAATAACTCAATCATTAGGAATGCTAGGCCTATCCATTCCCAGTATATTTGAAAAAAACTTCTGGAATTCTTATATAGATTCGGTTTCTCTTTTGTAATTTTTATTTTGGGTGTTTCTGCAGGTGAAGAGCTTCGGATATGTTATATTGATGCTAGTTTAGATCACAATGCTCGCCAAGATATTCTTCAAGGAGGATTCGGTTTCAAGTGCTCTTGTCCTCGCTGTTTGTCCAGTGACTAGTGATCCATAACTACTTTATTGTGCTTGTGAGGAAATCCCATGTTTTCATCTTTTCTTGCCATTTAATGCATATACTTACAAGATTAAGGAGGATCTAAGAAGTAGGAACTGCATGCAGTTTTGTAAAAAGTATGTAGAAAGATTTACTCTTCATTAGGAAGATTGGAAAGAAGCACAAGACAACAGTTTATGGAATACTGAAGTACTTAACAACAATATTAGCTAACTCCTAGCAATTTCTATCAAATGTGTGTTTAGGTGTTTAAATAGGAATATCCTCAAATTTAAACAATCTAAGTGAAACCCTAATAAAGGGACTATCTTTAAAAAAAAATTAAAAATGAAAAAAAAAAATAGAAATTTGTTATGATAATATCTAAATATGGATGACTATTATCCCATGTACAATCTAGAATATTCTAGAGTTGGGTATTTGGTCTTATCCATTAATGGAACCCTAGGAAATGTACATTATATATATCCCGTACTAGATGGAATATAAAATACAACGTAACAATCTTCCCTCATCTCTCTTTATTTTCTCTTCCATATTTAACACGTTATCAACACCATTGCTAGTCAACTGAGTAGGATTACCAAACATTTATGTAGAATCCCATATTATTATTATCATGTAAGTATGATCGTAGCCTATAACAATTATAATTTAACATTTATCTACTTTTGCATGCTTATTTATTGGAATATCAACATATATAACGAATACAGAGCATGATATATAATTTAAGGTTCCATTCTTATTTTTCTCCATGCTAACGTTCTCATCTTCTATTTCGTTCTTATTATGCATGATTTGTATCAGGTTTATTTATGCATGATTATAACGTTTAATACATATTTTTGAATACTATTTATATATACTTATCTTTTAATATTATTTTGTATAGTGAAAAATGTCGAACCTTGCCAAGCTCGAATTTGTGGCCCTTGATATTACCGGAAAGAATTGGGTGTTAGATGCTGAAATACATCTAGATGCTAAAGGGCTTGGTGAAACAATAAAAGAAGCTAATAAGGCAACACCTCAAGATAGACTAAAACCATGATTTTTCTTCGCCATCACCTCCATGAAGGGCTAAAAAATGAATATTTTACTGTGAAAGACCCACAAATCCTTTGGAGTAATCTAAAGGAAAGGTATGACCACCAAAAAACAGTGATACTCCCTAGAGCTCGTTATGAATGGTTAAATTTGAGATTGCAAGAGTTTAAATATGTTAGTGAATATAACTCAGCTATGTTTAAAATAACTTCTCAATTGAAATTATGTGGAGAAAATATTACTGATGCAGAAATGCTTGAAAAAATATTCTGAATTAATATCTTGTCTTCTTGTGGCTGAGCAAAATAACAAGTTTTTAATGAAAAATCATGAATCACGTCCTACTAGCTCTACTCCATTCCCTGAAGCGAATGTGACAACCCATAACGGAAAAGAAACTAAAAACAGAGACCATTCCAGCAGTAGTGGTCGAGGTAGAGGTCGTGGTAGTGGCCAATGGCGCGGCCGGGGTCGTGGACGTGGATATGGTAGAGGTCGTGGAGGTCATTTCACAAACTCACATTCCCACCAGAAGTGGGAACGTAGGGATGAAAAAGAGAAAAGTGATAACAATATATGTTACCGTTGTGGAGGAAAAGGTCATTGGTCTCGGGTTTGTAGAATTCCAAAGCATCTTATTGAATTTTACCAAGAATCATTGAAGAAAGGAAACAAAGGTAAGGCAAACCTTGTTCTTGAAGATGGTGAAGGTGATTTTGATTTTGGTAATGCCAATCAATTTGATGTTAGTGATTTCCTTACTTCCCCGGAAGGGAATAATTTTGATTTTGGCAGTACAACTCATTTAGAAGTTGTCGATTTCTTCACTGTCCCAGAAGGGAATAATTAAAATTATATTGTTTTATGTCAGTTTTAAGTATTAGACTTATGTTTGCTTATTGTAGTGATTTATTTAAGTTTATTTCTTTCGTTGTAATAAGGATTTTTGCTTTATAAATTTATGAACTATTTGAGTGTTTTTATTGATTTATTTGTTTTATCATCTTTATTTTTATGCTTAATATTTTGACATGTATTTTATTTCATGAAGAACATGGATATTACTCAAGTTCAATTTGCTATGAATGGTGAAGAATTATGTCTTGCTGACAGTGCAACTACACAAACAATACTTAAAAATAAAAAATATTTCTCTCATTTGATGATGAAAAGGATTAATGTAAGTACCATATCGGGTAGTACAAATATCATTGAGGGCTCCGGAAGAGCCACTATAAAGTTGCCTTGGGGAACTGAAATTAAAATAATTGATGTTTTATACTCCCCATTGTCTCAAAGAAATTTATTAAGTTTTAAGGATATTCGCAACAATGGTTATCATATTGAGACAATCAATGAAGAAAATAACGAATTCCTTCAAATCACAAATATAATCAAGGCTCAAAACATGTTTTGGAGAAATTACCTACATTCTCTTGTGGTTTGTACTACACAAAAATCAATGCTATTAAAGCTCATGCTATAGTAAACCAGAAGTTTACTGATGATTTTGTTGTTTGGCATGACCGGTTAGGCCATCCCGGTTCAATAATGATGCGAAAAATAATTACGAATTCATGTGGACATTCTTTGAAGAGCCAACAGATTCTTCATAATAATTTTTCATGTGCTGCTTGCTTAGAAGGCAAGTTGATTTTTCGCCCATCACCAGCTAAAATTAATTTTGAATCAATTAGTTTTCTGGAACGTATACAAGGAGATATTTGTGGGCCCATACATCCTCCATGTGGACCATTTAGATATTTTATGGTTTTAATTGATGCATCAACTAGATGGTCACATGTGTCTTTGTTATCAACTCGTAACCTGGCGTTTGCGAGATTACTTGCCCAATTGATTAAGTTACGGGCACATTTTCCAGATACTCCCATTAAGACTATTCGGCTTGACAATGCTGGTGAATTTACATCTCAAGCTTTTAATGATTATTGCATGTCCATTGGGATAAATGTTGAACATCCTGTAGCACATGTTCATACACAAAACGGTCTAGCAGAGTCATTAATAAAACGTATTCAGTTAATTGCTAGACCATTGCTTATGAAATCCAATCTCCCAATTTCTGCTTGGGGACATGCTATATTACATGCAACAACACTAATTCGCATTAGGCCAACAAGTTATCACAAGTTCTCCCCATTACAATTGGTTTATGGTCAGGAACCAAATATTTCCCATCTAAGAATTTTTGGATATGCGGTTTATGTTCCAATAGCTCCACCACAACGCACTAGGATGGGTCCTCAAAGGAGGATGGGGATATATGTTGTGTTTGAATCCCCGTCAATAATTAAATATCTTGAGCCTACAACAGGGGAATTATTTACGGCTCGTTTTGCATATTGTTATTTTAACGAGTCACTTTTCCCAACATTAGGGGGAGAAAAGAGAGAGCTGGAAAATGAAATTAAATGGAATGAATTATCATTATCCTATCTTGATCCTCGAACTAAACAATGTGAACTGGAAGTTCAAAAGATAATTCATTTACAAAGTTTAGCGAATCAATTGCCAGACTCATTTGCTGACCCAAAAAGAGTGACCAAGTCACATATTCCAGCTGTTAATGCTCCATTTAAAATAGATGTCCCGGAAGGACAAAATAAAATTGATAATGAGTCTAAACCACGCCAAAAACGTGGAAGACCAATAGGTTCCAAAGATAAGAATCCTCGAAAAAGAAAAGGAGCATTGATTGATGATGGTCAAATTGAAGAAACAATTTCCGAAGGATCTCCATAAAAGACTTTAGACATGATACAAGAAGAAATTCAGGTACCTGATAATGAAGAAATTTCAATAAATTATATCATGTCTGGAATTACATGGAACCGAAATCAAATCGACGTCGATGATGTTTTTGCATGCAATGTAGCATTAGATGTTATGGATAATAATGAGGATCATGAACCAAGATCCATTGAAGAATGTAGACAAAGAAATGATTGGCCAAAATGGAAAGAAGCAATTGAAGCAGAATTAAAATCTCTTGGAAAAAGAGAAGTATTCGGACCTGTAGTCCGTACACCTGAAGGTGTAAAGCCAGTGGGATATAAATGGGTCTTTGTGCGAAAGAGAAATGAAAAGGGTGAAGTTGTAAGATATAAGGCACGCTTAGTTGCACAAGGATTCTCACAAAGACCTGGTATTGATTATGAGGAGACATATTCTCCTGTGGTGGATGCAACTACTTTTATATTTTTGATTAGTCTGGCAATAAGAGAAGGACTTGACTTACGTTTGATGGATGTAGTCACAGCTTATTTATATGGCCCACTGGATAATGACATTTACATGAAGCTCCCAGAAGGATTCAAGCTGCCGGAAGCAGCAAAATCTAGTTCTCGAGAACATTTTTGTATTAAATTGAACAAATCTCTTTATGGATTGAAACAATCTGGGCGTATGTGGTATAACCGTCTAAGTGAGTATTTGTTGAAAGAAGGTTATAAGAATGATCCTATCAGCCCATGTATTTTTATAAAGAAATTTGGATTAGGATTTGTTAATTTTTCAGTGTATGTTGATGATTTGAATATCATTAGAACTCCTGAAGAGATTTCAGTGACTGTCAATTATTTAAAGAAAGAGTTCGAAATGAAAAATCTAGGAAAGACAAAATTCTGCTTGGGGTTACAAACAGAGCATCTAGAAAATGGAATCCTTGTGCATCAATCAACATACAGAGAAAAGGTTCTTAAAAGATTTTCTTTGGATACAGCACATCCATTGAGCAGCCCTATGGTTGTAAGATCACTTGAAGTAGAGAAAGATCAATTCCGACCTCGGGAAAATGATGAAGAAATTCTTGGTCCTGAAGTACCGTATCTTAGTGCAATTGGAGCACTAATGTACCTTGCAAGTCATACACGACCTGATATATCATTTCCAGTTAATTTATTAGCAAGGTTTAGTTCATGTCCAACCCGAAGGCATTGGAATGGGATTAAACATTTACTTCGTTATGTTCAAGGTACGAAGAATATGGGTTTATTTTTCCCAAAGTTGTCTAAAGAAAATTTGATTGGTTTTGCAGATGCAGGTTATTTATCTGATCCTCATAATGGTCGGTCACAAACTGGATATGTGTTCACATATGGTGGTACTGCCATTTCTTGGCGTTCCATGAAACAAACCATTGCAGCTACTTCTTCCAATCATTCTGAGATTTTAGCAATTCACGAGGCTAGTCGTGAATGTGTATGGTTAAGGTCGGTAGTTCAACATATAAAAGAAGTTTGTGGTTTATCATCTGGGAAAAAGGCACCAACAACTTTATATGAGGATAACGCTGCTTGTATTGCTCAACTTAAGGAAGGATACATCAAAGGCGACTGAACAAAGCACATCTTACCCAAATTTTTCTTCACTCATGATCTTCAGAAGAATGGAGATATAAATGTATTGCAGATTCGTTCAAGTGAGAATTAAGCAGACTTATTTACTAAGGCTCTTCCGACAGCAACATTCAAAAAGTTAGCTTACGGCATTGGATTGCGTCGTCTTAAAGATCTCAAGTGATGTAGTCATGCGCGCTGCAATCTTTTTTCCTTAACCATGGTTTTTTCCCACTGGGTTTTCCTGGTAAGGTTTTTAACGAGGCAGCATCTTATGCGCATTATAGTGTATTATTTTGTACAGGTTTTGTAGTAAATGTTAGTTATT